TTTGTTATGTTACCTGACTCTTACAGAAGTAGTAAAGGGAGAATTGGTTGGATAATGCAAAAATTCACTACATTTCTTTTAAACTTAGTGATGAAAGAAATAGTCTGACAATTATTATTTGACCAGTCACAATAGATATATCATTTATGCACTTTTGAAAATTGCAAGAGTACAAACCACATTTTCAGATGGGATCTAGAAACTTCTTATTCTAAATTTCACTGAAAGTCAAATAGGTTTCCAAATGCCTTGGTCATTTTTAAAAAAGGACACAGGCCACAAAGTCAGTTTGGCACTTTTGAAAAACTCCTCCCAAATCCACTTAAACAAGAAAGAAAATCTATTTGTGAATATTTCTTTAAGTGACCGAGAAAATGCTTGTCAAATAAAGAGTCTGGGATAAAACCAGCTCTAAATGTGAGATATTATTTTACTACAGTACTTCTCTACATGGCTGCTCATAAGAGGCATTGTCATTATGCTACGTTTTCTTTACAAGAGGGTGCAAAATAATGTAAGCAAATGATCTGTGTTCTGAAAATTTCCTCCCAGGCCTTCTGCATTTACATTTCAGGTCATAATCAGGTTCTGATGCAGCACAACAAAGAGGCTAACAATGCTTACATACCTCTCTCACAGGGGTGCTGCAAAGATCTATCAGCCAATGTTGTCAAGTGGCTTAAAAATTAGAAGCTCTACAAAATGTAAATGCTACTCATAGTATTGTGCATTGTTTCTAGTACACTTCTTTGAAAGAGTCATCATAATCTATTGTGTCTGTTCTTTTATACATCTCAGGGGGACTTTCTTCTCGCCACTGCAGTTATTAGTTTACCAGCCCCATCACCAAGAAAAAGTACATTAACACTAGTGAACTGGAGACCCATTTATCCCCAAATGTCTGGCCTCAAAGAGCTATGGTGACTCCCCCCACCAGACTAGTCACAGTGTCAGAGCTTTTAGAGGACAGCAGCAGTGACCCAGCTAGGGTTGCCAGGTGTCCGGTATTCACCCGGACAGTCCGATATTTTCACCTCCTGTCCGGTAAAAAAAATTCAGAAAATACTGGACACCTAAGATGTCTGGTATTTTCTGATTTTTTTTTCCCCCGGCCAGGAGGTGAAAATGCCGGGCACCTGGCAACACTACAAACACTCAACGCCCAGCTTCCCCACCCCTCTGAGCTCCCCCAGCCCCGAACACCCCCAGCCCCCCGACCCCATGCTTATCTGGTTCCACAAGGCTGCCAGCACAAAATGGCTGCCCTGCATCTTAGTGCTCAACCACTTCTCTGTTCCTCACTCTTAAAGGGCACATGCTGTTTTAATGCCTTTTTTTTTTTGCTTAATATGTCTTGG